AGAGCGACCGACACATCATTGACGTGTTAGCTAGCAAGATGGTCAAGGTTAGGATAGGGGTGAGGGGAAGGTTAAATAAGAGGATAAGGTTAGGGTGAGGTACAATGAGCTTGTTTGGTGCCCTGGCTGCGGACATCCCATCACGTCAGTGTAACGCTGCATTGGGATCTGCAGTCAGAAAAGGGGAAAAAAACCTTTTCGCACATAAGTGATGAAAAAGGGCACTTTTGGCATCAGAGGTCTGATGCGGAGGGTGGCTGACCAAGCGTTTGTTTTTGATGCGCTGGGAGTGAGAATGTACATCTTGACTCTGAGATTTTGTCAGCTTTTGAAAAACTTCTGGGTACGTGTGTGTGTGCTCACTTGTGCACTGAATCCTTAATAAAGACAAAGTTGCAAGGTTATCCATTCCTACTGACTAAAACTGCTCTCTACTTTATTTTTCACTGTATTTGAGATGAATTCTCACATTTTCCTTGATGTATCCCAACATTTTTAGAACTTCAGGTCCATAACAGCATGACAGCAATCACAACCTTTTTATGTGGGTAATGGGAAGTAATCAGAATAGTCTTTGGCAAACCTCTTGATGGAAAATTCCTTTAATTGACTGAATCTTTCCGTAAAGTGTCTAAACCCTCCCCAGCTTCTCTGTCACTCCATAATTGCCCATTGTTCTGTTATTATCGGCTCTCCGGGGCAACGCCATCTGCCAGCTCCAACAGGTGAGTTGGAGGCAGTTCATGTGTCTTTGCCTACATCTGTCTTAAGGTGTGTGCATTTTCATCTGCTACTGTTGTCGGCTTTAACACAATTGTGTCAGCATTTTTAAATTAAATTTGCTCTTGATGAATTGCATTTGCATCATTAAATGTCGTGATTTGACATCAGAGAGGACTGAAGAGGGCAAGAGGGGAAGGAAGAATGGAGAAGAGATGTGAAGGAGAGAGACTGGTGTCATTCATCAGCAGTGCAGCAGTGCATGAAGCATTCTGGCTACGACGTTATCATAACTCTCCCTTTCATTTACCTTATTATCTCCTTATCTATTCGCATCATTACAGTGGATGTAACCTGTGTGATGAATAGCCTCTTTGATTAAAGATGCATGCTTCCTTTTGTCTAACATATGGACACAGTTTAGTCTGCACAGCTGCACTCAGCTTCTTACACTCTCACTGATGCACTGTAATGCTGTAGCTTCTAACCCTGTTTGGTTCTTGTTCTGAACTCGGCTTGTATAACTTTGCATTATAATACTGTGCAGATCTCTGGATTTGGTTTATGTTTTCATCATTTTAAGAGCAGGTTTTGGGTTGTTTAGTGTTACAGTAGTGCTTCTTTTAAACTCCTCTCAAGCTACAAAAGCTCTAGGATGATAAACTGAATTGTGTTTTGTGAGGAAAGAAATCAGGTCTCCTGAGAAACATTCCTCCTTTTGCACCTATTTCAGTCGGTTCTGTGCACCGTTTTGGATCTCTCTCACTGCTTTAGTAAACTGTGCTTTGGTAAAAACAACAGTTACCCCCATGATGAGGAAATTAGCCCTGCTGTCAGTTAAAGGTTAAAAAAAGAAGACTGATTAAGTCAGCAAAATGTTCACCTGAAATCCCATGTCAACTTTACGTGACATGAAGTTTTTCAAGGTAAATTGAAAAGATCTTGACTTCAGTAGCTGGTGCATAAAAAAATCACCTGAATACCTTAAATGTTCAGTTCAAGCCTCTTATAGAACGTTAGTGTGGAATTAAAAAGATTTGATATTATTTATCCCACATTCAGGCTCTTTTGAGCCTGTTTGGAACTGCAGCATTCATGCTGTTTCTTTGACAGGATACAGCGAAGGTGTTGGAGGGGCTGCGCTCACTAGCCTAACTTTAATGAGTGCTAGAGCTAATTAGCTTGTTGCTGGATGCCAGAGATGGTTGGAGCTGCAGCCCCATCACTGGAGCAGTGCAGCGAGCTGAGAGAAGAGCCGCTCTAATGAGCCCTCAGCGGTGTGTTTACTGTTAACAAAAGTCATGGCTTTACTCTCCACACGTCTTCTCCCTCCACACACACACACACACACACACACACACACACACACACACACACACACACACACACACACACACACACAGAGTGCTGATGGTTATTTGTATGAAAAGTCTGCTGGCTATTTTATTATTTATGTGAAAACACGCATGGATGTTTAGGCACCCAGGTGGGTAGGAAGAGAAAATCGTCCTCACTGATTCAGTCTGGTGTGCTTAATTAATGTGGCCATGCTGCAGCTCACCACCAACTCTTTAACAAGCCGTCTCCGTTCTGATGTGATGAGCTTGCATCATGTAACAGTGAATGTTGTATTAAAAGGAGACATGTTTTGTTTTAAGTAAGTGAAAAACTTCTTTGTGGATCATTTGTATCTTTATTTTATTCATAGGAGGTTTACAAGGGCATGGAGACTAACTTAAAGGACAGAGCCACAGCATTGTTTACCTTTTCCTTTAAGATTGATCACCACAGGATTGAAGGATGCCCGTGTCACCACCTGGCAGGCAATTACCTTTTGTGTGTGTAAGATAGTCTACATGTGCATCCATCTGCTACGTCCACTCACTCCTCTGCAGTCGTCTTGCCGATGCACCAACACGCACATACCAACACGCATCATGTAGAGCAAGAGCAAGTCGGTGTTCGTTTGGTTCAGCCTTGAGTCATTTGTGGCGGCCACCAGAGGATGTATGCGCAGCAGTGACTGGTGTGTGATTGGGTGTCTGCTGTCTTATCCCCCTCAGGTTCATTAGGAGTACAGACCTGTCAGCATAAACTCCTCCAGGATGGATGAGCTTCACATGTTCATACCCCATGCTTTATACACACACACATGCAGACAACTCACACACCTACCATGACTATGGATTTAAAAAAATATATTCCTGTCAAGAGAGATCCTTCAATGAATGATAAGTGTTCTGGGCTGTGGCTTGGCTGCAAAAACAAGCTGTTCCCTACATTTAAATAAATTTTGCTTTTATCAAAATTATAGTGATTTTAGGACTTCTGAAAAGAAATAACTATTTCCTAATGGAAATGACGCAACTGCGTTAAAAATAATGTAATGAAGTAGAAAATATATGTTTTTTGGGGGGCTTCTGCACAAATATAGCTTAATGAGGTTAAAAACTCCCTAATATATTTTCTGGTTTGACACATGAATTTAAATTATTTATTCCTGCACATTTACTCATCTGACAGACTCATCTTTTTGATCTGTTTGTTTAAGAAACTTGAAATTTAAACTTCCCGTTGTGTAGCTTTGATGTATTTATTTTATTTCCTCGTCAGATTGTGACAGTTTATGTTCTCTCAGCATTGCCTGATTCTTTTTATGTACAAATTCTCTAACAAGCTATAAGAAAGCATTATGCTGCAAGCCTGACAGCATTAATTGTTACGGCAGTTAAGTTAAGATATTTTTCTGCTTTGTTTGCTCTCTAGTGTAGATCTGACCAATCCTGGTCTTAAAGATTCACAACCATGCATATTTTAGTTGTTTGTCCCAACAATAGTTGAATTAAAACATCACATTCTTCTGAAGCCTGTCAATCATTAGTCCAAATCAGGTGTGCTGGAGCAGAGAAGCTACTAAAATTTACAACTTAACCCCTTCTTTCCGCCGGCTGTGAAAGCGGTCGCGTAACGAAATAGCAGCGTTTTACCCACAACCTCATTCCCAACCGAGAGCAATTCTGGCTAGAAACCAGAGCAAAAGCTTTCCACACTGCTGATCCCATGATGTCACAAAATCATGGGAGAATTGCAACACCACACGTGATTGCAGATATCCACACACAAGCAAGGAGAAAGACAGCTGCATGTGCCAAAAAAAGCTCTGTGGTTTATTTTCTGTTCTGTTTACATCGACTACGGGGGTTTTAACAGGAAATGATGTACATTTACCTACATGTGACTTGGATTTTTGAAAGTTTCTGGATGTTTCACACTGCAGAGTTTGACATGATTTGGAAGCATAGTGTGTAAAAAATTAATTTGAAATGTAAGGATAGCATACCTTTGCTTCTGGGGCACGTCCAAAACATTACATGTTGCTGCCGGTGGAAAGGAAATCATCCATTACAATGGCGGCTAATTGCAGCATAGTAATTTTGGTGATGATTTCACGTAGAAAGAGGGCCTTTGAGATGAGAAAAAATATGAGATGGTGACTGGATTATTATAAGTGAAGAGCTAATTTGGGCATAAATAAGACATCTGTGTAATAAAGGTGTGGTTGAGACAAGGTCCTGGTCCCAAACCGAAGTTCAACTGTTAGCTTTAATTGTTTTAAAGGGACATTATGTAGGTCTGACTATCCTTTTGTGCTTCCATGGGTCTCTACTGCCACCATAAACACTCTAAATGTGGGGGGAAAAGAACATCCACTCATTTTCTGAATTACGTGCCTAAGATGAGCCTTTTCAGAATGTTCCAGATTGCCCCCTCACTGACTCCCAACATTGTAAAGGATCTGAAATGTTTGTTCACCTAGACACGGAGCGAGGATGTGGGACAAGCTAACACTACTACTTCATGTTCGGTAGCCAACTCCCAACAACAAACGGCAGAAATCTTTCGGTATGTGTGAACCAGGCCTTGGTGCGGCTCGGTTTAGGTCAGTAAGCTTTTGAAAACTCACCTATTCTGACGGAGGGAAGTGTACCTAATCTTAATGTCAAGTCATCAGATGAGGGGGTTGGGAAACTCATGTATTTTACCCCTGAAACGGCTTATTCTGGAAGGTACTGAAAAGGTCAAGAATTAAAAATCCCTTTGTCTGAGAGTGATTTTGTGCAAACTTCGTGCACATGTCTTGTACAGACCATGGAACAATTCAAACAAAAAGGCATGATATGTGCCCTTTAAATCAAACACAACTTTGCCATTTGAAACAAGTCCATTTTGTTTTGAATGTCAGTTAACTTGAGAAAATATGGTATCTTTAATGAGCTGACCTCAAATCCTTTGACTCCAACAGCGGTAGAAACGAACCAACCACCGTATGGCTGAGTTGTCCACAGATAATTCCCCCAAACATTACAAGAAGAAAAGAAAAAACACAATACAACAAATGCAAGCTGCAGACTTAATAAAAAATGTTTTTGTAGAAGTCCAAAGAAAGAGAACTGGTTTTAACTGGAGTTTGTTGGTTGAAAAGGTCACAATTTGCCCAGAACATAAATGCATTTATCTGCTGCACTATTCTGATATTTACACATGTAGTAATAGAGCTGAAACCCCATAGCTGCCTTGCAAACAGCAAGCTGCAATGACCAAATAAGCCAAGCGACAACAGCTAGTTGAGAGAAGCAGGTTGTGTAATTTCACACTTTCACACAGTCTGTTTCAGTCCTGTGACTTCAGCTCAGAGTGGCTTAACTGTTTTAACCTTCCAGCGTCTGACTTAGCTGATTACACATCCGTTCACTTGCTTTAAAAGCTCTGTTTTTAAATGTTCTCACTTTTTATAGTCAATAGTTTTCTCTTTTTTCACAATCGGGTATAAAAATGCACATATTCTCCCCTTTGCCCCCAAAAGTCTGTCACATTTTGGGTCTTTATTGACCCTTGCTGGTTTTCCATTTGCTTCCTTCCTGCTGTGTCCCCAGGAGGGTCAGGACAGATAACGGTGCTCAGTTATTCCTGACACGGTCGAACACAGTGACTAGTGACCGCCACGAGCAGCCACAAGAAATGAAAAAGTTCTTTACTGAGAAGGAAATTAAAAACAGAAAAAGAATACTCGTCAAAAAGACCTTATTACATTTGTCCTCATCCTAACAGAGATTTGTTAGTTTCTGGTTGCATAAATCTGACGTGGTAGAGTTAATCCTGTTGTGATGTGACAGTTCTTGCTCTTCTGTTCTGTAGCTTTCAGATCTGCTGTCTTCTGCAGGAGTCGGCTCCTAATTTTAAACCCAAGATAGCTTTCTGTATGATATTTTCATCCAAGCTCATGAAAATAAGCATGTGCCAGTCTCATATCTACGGTCAGGAGGGTTTTGTTGTTTTTATTCCTCCAGTTGTCCAATGTGTGAATCTGATGGTTCTTGCCTCACAGTCATCCGTGTTATCTCAGTGTGTTTGAGCACCTGAAGCATTCTGCTCTACGTGAATACTGCTGGTTCTCAAGTTGATCAGATGTTGCTTCTTCTGCTTAGGATGCACTCATGTTTGTTTGAGCTCCTCTCCACTGCTGTGCAGCTCCTGCTCTACAGCTGGCAGCCTAGCCCCTGCATTTATAGCCAGAAGTGTGTGTGTGTGTGTGTGTGTGTGTGTGTGTGTGTGTGTGTGTGTGTGTGTGTGTGCGTGCTTGTGTGTGTGCGTGCTTGTGTGTGTGTGTGTGTGTGTGTGTGTGTGTGTGTGTGTGTGTGTGTGTGTGTGTGTGTGTGTGTGCGCGTGGATTTTTCTTTGTGTGTGAAAGAGAAGTGGGACTTTTCTATGGACTCCATGTCATCACGGAGGAGAGCCAATTACGGGACATGGGACATACCAGGGTGTCAGGAACACCCCCTACCATTATTACAGACTCACAGCTTTCTGCTCATCTGTATCGATGCATGTGCAAAGTTCTGCCTCCATCTCTCGTTTGGGGACCAAGCCAAGTGTTTTCTCATCTGTTTGGTGTGAAATTATCAAGTCATTGCCTTCATATTTGAAGTTTCAGCCTGGTTAACTGTGGTTGTTGGATTTTCATTTCATCACGATCAAGCAATATTAGGGCGAGGCTTTCTAGACTCTTTACAAAAGCATGCACACATGCTGAATAACATCAGTAATGTTTGTTAACTTCAGAAATAGCCTTCAGCTGCAAATCCATTTTACAGGAATCACCTTGATCTTCATGCCTGCTGGAAATAATTTAATACTAACACAAGTAAAGAATGGAAATCTTTCTGCGTTACCAAGACAACAACTAAACAATAAAGCAACAATGACATTTGACTTACTTTCTTACATATCATCTGTTATGTCACATCCAGGAATTACATTTTTTTAACAGTTTTGTACCATTTTGCAGAGAAGATGTATTAAATTCTTTTAATAAATCTCCTGACTTAGTTTTCCACCCGGTTTGACCAGATATTAAGCCATTAAATGCCAGAATGAATCATGCTAAGGTTTTACGTAACCTTTATTTAACCAGATGTGTCGATTAAGAACTCATTCTCATTTACGACGACGATCTGGCCAAGAGGCAGCAGCAACAGACACATAGTTAACTTTACATCAAAGAAAAACGGATAAGATAAAACATACAAGACAAAAATGAGATAAAACAGTTAGACATAAAGACAAGAGACCGTTCTCATATATCATATGTACAAGCAATCATAAGACTTTAAGTACTCAGAAGCAGTCCAATTGATCAGAAACTATTGATTGCAATGACATTTTGAAGGTAGATAATGGAATGGAGGTGGTGAGATTTAATGATTTGTTGGAAGCAGCAAACTGGAATGAGGAGCTGCCAAAGGAGGTGCGAGCTTTGGGAATAACCAATGTTCACGTGATAACATTGTTTTTGCATCTTGCATCTTGATAAACACATGTGTCACTCACTGCAGGAGGAGTTTCATGGTGGCAAATAATTGTTAGTGTTAAAGCAACTGTGACGTTTGTCCTAACCTGTCCCACAATCGTTGCTTTAATTTTAAAGCAATGGTTGTGGGGAGTTTAGAATTGCTCCTTATGTAATCGGTGCTGGTGAGGCTTGTTGCAGTGCTATAATGAAGCAAAAACAAACAAGTAAAATCTAGTTTCTGTGATCATTTCTATTTCTTTCCACTTCTGCATCACTACAACAACTAACAAGCATAGTGTTTGAAAATCTTACTTTATTAATTTTAAGTAATTTTTTTGTGGGGCTGCACATTAAGCAGTGCTTTGTGTTGTTGCCTTGCAGCAAGAAGATCCTGGGTTTGAATCCCAGCCTGGAGTCTTTCTACATGGAGCTTGCATGTTCTTCCCTGTGCATGCATGAATTCTCTGCAGGTATACCCTGGCTTCCCCCCACAGTCCAAAAACATGACTGTCGGGTTGACTGGTCTCCCTAAAATGACTTTAGGTGTCATTGTGTGCTTGGTTTTACTTCTGTGTTGCCCTGCGATGGACTGGGATCCTGTCCAGGGAGTACTCCGCCTGTTTGAGCGGAGACTGCTGGAGATAGGCACCAGCTCCCCACAACCCTGCATGGATCAGCGGGTATAGACAATGGATGGATGGAAGCTCTTTTTGTTTCTTTTGTATATATCTGCCATATCCTTTAGTCTTCACAAGAGGAATGCAGCTCTATCAGCCCCATCGTGTTGGAGCTAATAAAGAGAAGAAGATCCAATATAAATGAGCTTTTTGGAACTTTTACCTCCCTTCAGGTGTTCTTTGTGATTAAAGCTAAGACAGATTTAAGATAATTTAGTCTCAGAAAAATTGTGATTGTTGTCGTATGTTTTCTATTCCTGCTCTATCCTTTGACTGTCACAAGGCATGACAAAACAGCAGAAAGTTGAAAGAAGCAAACACACTTCAGCGACAGAGATGCAGACATGAAGGACACAGTCCAGCTCTCTCATTACCGATGCAGCGTGTCCCACTGTCAGCTGCGTTGCCAGAGACATTTGGTGGTGGAGAAAGTGACCAGGCCCTCACCAGCATCCAGTCCACCCAGGACTCCTCAGTACCCACTAATTATTCTTCACACCTAATCTGAGAAAGAGAAGGAGGAAGGACAGATGAAAGCGGGTGTAGAAGAAGAGAGAAAGACAGATAGGGAGGAGTGTTTGGAGACCAGTGGGACTTGTTGTGCTTTCTTACAGGAACAATGAATCACATGTAGCCACCACCTGTCTTGTGTTGTCCCTTCTGTTGCTCCCAGCACTGCTGACAGAATGACTGTGTTTGTACAGTATCAGGCCAGCTGGGTTGGTGCTGGCTACAAAGCCTTTTACCAAGAATTAATAACAGATTGGACAGACATTGGTGGAACAATGTTGGTATTTGCTCTGTTATTTTCAGCATTTTCACAGCTGAAAATGGTTTATTTATGCCAAGGTCAAAAGCAGCGTTTATACCGGTGCAACATCTCTGAGCTTCAATCATAATCTCCTTTGTTTACATAAAGTTTTAAATGATGGAAAACATGAAAGACATCCTTATCCTGAAAAGAAAGAGGTTTTAGGCATCCATCCATCCACTGACTATAAAATACCCTGAGAAGTCATATGAGATCATGATTTTAGCAAAGTTCTTTCTGTTATGTTCTATTAACATAAAACTATTCTTATAACTTAAATGTCCTGCAAATGTTGCTGTACAATGATCACTGCCCCAATTTGGCAATTATTTGCACACGTGTGTACGACGCACTATAAGCCTTAATGCACACTTCCTCCAAGTGCACTTTGCACGGTGCAAGAATTGGGATTGGGCCTCTCCTCTGCCTCACTTCTGCTTCCTCAAACATACGCACTGGAGCTTTTTATCCCCAGAGAAAAACTTAAAAGGCAGTCATTTAATAGAAACCCCTGCAAAAGTATTAAAACTTTGAGTAAAGCTGGCCTGTTGTACAGCAGTGTTCTAGTTTTTCAAAGATCTACAAATATTCATTTGAAGGTATTTGGTTCTGATTTTGTTTACAAGTCCAAGTTCATTATTTCAGTAATTAAACTTAAAAGTTGAAACTAAAATATCAGACAGACTCATTAGATGCAAAGCCTTTATTTGTTATAACTGTAATTATTATGGCTTACAGCTTGTGAAAACCCCACACTCAAAATCTCAAACAATTAGAATAATGTGAAAAGGTTCATTATTGTAGACTCAAAGGTTCACACTCTAATCAGCTAATGAATCCTAAGCACCTGCAATGGGTTTCTGAGCCTTTAGAAAGGCTCTCAGTCTAAGTTGGATTACTGAAATAAGCAGACTTTTGCATCTCATTCAGATTTTTTTTTGTTTCATCTGTATTACCAGGCTTCATGAAGAGCATTATAATTGTTTTGTGAGTGTTAGGATGTGCAAATCTCTACTTGTGAACTTGAAAATCTGTTGATGTTCCTTTAGAACTGTTGAGAGGCATAAACTGAAAATGGTTCGGCCCATTTTGCAGTGAGCTGGAGGATGATGAGAAGTTGCACCTTGACTACCAACAGTCTGGATCTTTGGGTGGTTGATTAGGATGTGACATTTTGTCAGTGCTCATTATTGCTTCATGGCTGTTTTGTTTACTGCCAGACA